GGAAAAAAATAAAATAAAAGACTGGCTGGGCAGGATGGTAACTCCTGTGAGCCCAGCAGCTGAGGAGACTGAGGATCAGGGGTTCAAAGCCAGCCCCAGCAATTTAGGGAGGCCCTAAGCAACTCAGTGAGATGCTGTCTCTAATAAAATATTTTTTTAAAAAAAGAAGAAGAAGAAGAAGAAAGAAAGAAAAAGACCTTGGAATGTGGCTCATTGGTAGAGCACCCCACTACCAAAAAGAAAGGAGGAGGAGAAAGAAATTTAAAAATTATTTTACAAAATAATAGTGTATTCAAGAAAATAAAAGACAACAACACAGAGGCTGGGGTTATGGCTCAGTGGAAAAGGCTTGCCTTGCACTTGCAAGGCCCTGGGTTCAATGCTCAGCACTACATATAAATTAATTAATTAATTAATTAATCAATTAATTAAAGGTTATTGTGTCCAACTACCAAAAAATAAATATTTTTATTAAAAAGACAACAACACAAACAGCCAACTTTCTTTAAGATAATATAGGAATCATAAAGACTATATAGAAACATGGGGGGAAGTTATGATGCAATATGGGTGAAAAAAAAAGTCACATAATTCTGACATGGAAAGTAGGTAAATCATCATGTGCATGAAAACACTAGAAAAATAATACACAAAAATAACAATAGCTGCATTAGGGCGATGGGATTACATGTACATTTTTTGTAACTGAATGTCCCAATATTTCTGAGTTTTATTTTAATACTAGTCTAACAGGGCTGGGGATGTGGCTCAAGCCGTAGCGCACTCGCCTGGCATGCGTGCGGCCCGGGTTCGATCCTCAGCACCACATACAAACAAAGATGTTGTGTCTGCCGAAAACTAAAAAATAAATATAAAAAAAAAAATACTAGTCTAACAAATGATAATATTAAAGAGAATTGAGTATATGAAATGGTGTGTTTAAGGCAAAATATGTGCCATAATATGTAACAAAGCTAGCACACTGCCCAAAGGTCTTCCTAGAACCAACTCTACCCAGGCAATCAACCTCCCATCCAAAGGGACTAAAGGTACACCAGATCACCAAAGTTAGGGAACCAGTTGCCCATCATTGGACAATGATCTGTAATGGAGGAATTCTGCTGCACAGACAGCAGAACTTCTTAGGATCTGTTAATTGATACCCGTCAGTTGAGCGCCTGAGTCCTCTTCCCTAGGTAGTCAAGAGCAGGAGCATGTGGGAAATTCGAGGCCCAGTTATGGCCTAGTACACACACATACTTCATTTCCTGTTGCCACGCCAGTGGTAAATGTAGGATTGCCCAAAGACCCTGCAAATCAGAACTGTGATGTTTTCAAGTCCTTACACACTTTGGCCCTCACTTTCCTTTAAAACTCATGACCTCTGTGGGTGCTGTTGGCCACAACTAGATTCATCTCTCTGAGAGACTTGATGATACTATGGTTACAAGCTAACCTCTGGCCTAGGCTGGGTAAGGGTTTGTTTTGTTTTGCTTTTTGGTACCAGAGATTAAACCCAGGACGCTTACATCCCAAGCCCTTTTTTTATTATTATTATTTTGAGATGGGGTCTTGCTAAGTTGCTTAGGGCCTCACTAAATTGCTGAGATTGGCTTTGATCTTGCAATCTTCCTGCCTCAGCCTCCCAAACCACTGAGATTACAGGTATATGCCACCATGCCCAGCTGGGTAAGGGTTTGAATTGTGGCTCTGCTGCTCCCCAGATATTTGGTGCTACATGTAACCTCTCTTGAGTCTCATTTTATCCACTTGCAATGGGAATAAACCTTTCCAATAGAAATTGTCAGCAGTTTAAATGAGACTGCATGTGTAGCTGGGCACAGTGGTACATGCCTGTAATCCCAGCAGCTCAGGAGGCTGAGGCAGGAGGAGAGCGAGTTCAAAGCCAGCCTCAGCAAAAGCAAGGCCCTAAGCAACTCAGTGAAACCCTGTTTCTAAATAAAATACAAAATAGGGCTGGGGATGTAGGTCTGTGGTCTAGTGCCCCTGAGTTCAATACCTGGCAACCCCTCCCTCCCACACACACACAAAAGAGAGAGATTGCATAGGCAAAGCACTTGATTCAAAATAATGTTTCTTAAGCAAGATGTACACATTCCATATACTTTTCCTTTTACATTCTTATAAGCTTAATTTTTAAAATAGAAAAAGAAAGATTTTTAAAGGGCATTTATGAGTGATTTGGCACACACAAAATGCTTTCAATTTTTTTATTATTATTGTCAACATTATCTCTAATGTCCCATTTCATGATATGTTTCTGGCTCTCCCATAATCTCAGGTACATTGCATTCAATCAACTTTGCTCAATATTATTCTATATATTTACTGACTAATTTCTTTCTCTTTTTTCCCCCTAGCACTGGGAATCAAACTCAGGGGTACTTTACCACTGAGCTACATCTTAGCCCTTTTTTTTTTTTTTTTTTAGTTTTTAGTTTTGGATAGGGTCTTGTTAAGTTGCCCAAGGTGGCCTAGAATTTGCAATCTTACTGCTTCAGCCTCTCAAGTCACTGGAATTATAGGTGTGCACCACCATGCCCAGCACAACTCACTAATTTCTAAAGCTCTTCCAAAGAAGCATCCCTAACTCCCCTGACCTCCAAGTCCAGGCCCCTGCTCTGCCTTCACATGGTGATCTCTCAACTCTGCTGGCTGTCACTTTCAGATGTTACTTGGGTACCTTATATATGTCATTTTTATTTCACATATAGATTTTTTCCACCCAAATATGTTGCAGGTTTCTGAGGGCAGCCTCAGAGGGCTTTTATGTCCAGCCAGAAACTTGGTCAAGTACAGGATTTTGCAAGAAGCACAGTGGGATCCCCTGGTGAGCAAGCAGGGCCATCTCTCAGACAGGTGTTTGGGACTGTTTGCTTTAGCTGGTGAAAAGTCAGAGTTTCAGGATTCATTTTGATACAGGACAAGGAGAAAAATATTTGGGACTTGGTTATAACAATCCTATCCACATGCACTTCACACACACAAACACACACACACACACACACACACACACACAAACACTTCTCTTGTACTTCATGACAGGTTTACAAGGATCCTGTCGACAGACTAGATGTTGTGCTTCCCACTTTACTTACGTGGAACTAGAACTCAGAGACACTAAGACTTGCCTAGAATTAGAGCTGGAGTCAGAACCCAGGTTTTCAGGATCCTTCATACCACAAAACATACCTTTTTTCATTCTTACTGATAACTCATAAAATTAGGAGAATAGAAATGGTTCATCAGAACCCATACTTCTGCTGGAAACACTCAAACACACAGGGCCAGGGAGCTGCACAGTCCAGGAAGGAGTTGGACCCTCTGGGAAGGCCAGTAAAAATAAATAAATAAGTAAATAAGGAGCAGAATTAGGTTGGCCTTTCTGCTCCTTTCCCAGGAATTTTCTCACACAAAATAAAGAGGAGCCACCCACAAGGAAGTTACTTCCTACAGGGTGGGATTTGAGAAGCTTGAGCAAAATACAAACCCCTCTGCCTGTTAGACCACTTAAGATAGTTATCCCTTTAACTCTTTGAAGTGTAGAGTCTGCCAGGAGCTGGTGAAACTTTTACTCATTGAGACCTAAACCCAGCTAAGCCTTGGAAATTAATTGGTGAGGACAGGAGGAGAGGGATCCCTGAGAAAGCAGGATGCTCTTGTGGCCAATGAGTTGCTGGAACCCTCCTCAAGGTTCTAGAGACATAGCAGTTCTAGAGACAAAAGTAAAGAACTTCTCTGGAAATTTGGCTCAGGAGGAACAGTCAGGGAGTATTTGTTTGGCAATAGAGTGAGAAAGGCCAGGTTAGTTCTTTGGTCTGAATGGGTTCAGTCCCTTCCTCCAATCTCTCAAGGCAGGGATGGAAATGAGTTACCCAAAGGGATCTCTGAGCCACCTGCCACTCACACAACAAACCTAGTCCTTTGCCATCATCCATCAATGAGCACTAATGCCTAATGAGCATTCAGCATTACCTTAAACATTTCACATGTATTAATTCATTTAATCCCCACAAAAACTCAAAGATCTTACGAGCTACATAGTCAACATTATCCCCATTTAACAGATAAGGACATCAAAGCCCAGGAAGGAGGAAGATATTGGTGGAGTTAGAATTATAAGCCAAACAGTGGGACTCCAGAAACCTCCCATGTGCAGCAAAAACAGATCAATACCAATGTCTTGCACCTGTTCTGTACAAGAGTTTATAAAGGACCTTCCCTTGACTCTTGAAACTCTCACATAAAGGGGAAAGGGGATATCTAATCAACCAGGACCCAGAGAGATGATGTGGCTCACCCAAGGTCACAAAGCTAGTGAGAGGTCTGGG